TGCTGCTGCTGGTGCTGCTCAGTGAAATAGCACGTCTTCTTCCACCGCGAGCTGGAGGCGGCAGCAGCAGTACGTGCTGCTGCTGCTGCTGCTGCTGCTGCTGCTGCTGCTGGTGAAAAACGCCAATGCGCTGCAGCACAGCCCTGTAAACAACACACAGCAGCGACAAGCAGGAAGCTGCTGCAACAGCAGCAGCAGCTACAGCAGCAGCAGCAGCAGCAGCTACAGAAGCAGCAGCAGCAGCAGCTACAGAAGCAGCAGCAGCAGCAGCTACAGCAGCAGCAACAACAATAACGCCAGGACCAGCAGTAGCGGCACCAGCAGCAGAAGCAAAGGCAGCCGCTGCAGCAGCAAGAGCAGCAACAAAGACAGCAACACCAACAGCAACAGCAGCAGCAGCAGCTCACATTCTAGCAGCAGCTCTGTGTTTTGCTGCTGCCCCCCAATACACTAAAACTCTCCTCATTTGCTGCTGATGTCTGAGCAGCAGCTGCTGCTGCAGCCGCTGCTGCGCCTCTTGGCGCTGCTGCTGTCGCTGCAGCGCGAGGCCTTGCCACTCCAAGAAGACGTGCTGCAGCAAGACAGCAGCAATCTGCTGCTGCCGCTGCTGCTGCTGCTGCTGCAGCTCTGCTGCTGCTCGGTGAAGCCTGCTGCGCTCAGAGGCGTAGGCCCGCCAGAAAGACAGCAAGTGACCTGCAGATACACCCCAATACTGCTGCAGCGCGAAGCAACTTATTCCAGCAGCTGCTGCAGCAGCAACAGCAGCAGCAGCAGCAGCTGCTGCTGCTGCTGCTGCAACGGCTAAGCAGCAGCAGCACGTGGCGGGGCATAAAGGAGTAGTAGATGCAGCAATAACCCGATAGCGGCAGCAGCGGAAACACCAGCAGCAGTTGCTGCAGCAACTGCAGCAGCAACTGCAGCAGCAACTGCAGCAGCAACTGCAGCAGCAACTGCCGCAGCAACTGGTGCAGCAACTGGCGCAGCAACTGCAGCAGCAACTGCAGCAGCAACAGCAGCAGGAATCTTACTTCTGCGGCGCATTTGCTGCATCATGAAGAAGTGCTGCAGCAGCGCGTTTGCTGCCTGGGCGTAGCGACAGAGGGAGCGCCAGTGGCCCCACAGAGACTGCAGCAGCAGCAGCCTGTGCTGCTGCTGCACTGCTGCTGCAGCAAGCCCTAGCCGCCGACCCTTTGCTGCTGCAGCAACCATCTGCTGCAACGACCAACGCAACAACCGCTGCTGCTGCTGCTGCTGCACCTGCTGCCCGCATGCACGCACGCGCTTCTCCCGCCTCCAGTACGCGAGCCACTGCAGCAGCACTGCTGCTTGCTGCAGCACAACAACAGCAGCAGCAGCAGCAGCAGCAGCAACACGAAGCAACCAAATCGTTTCCTATGACAAGCAGCAAGTGCTGTAGAGGCCCCATACCCCCGCGTACGTAGCAGCAAACAAAGGAGGAGCAGCAGCAGCAGCAGCAGGAGAAACAGCCGTAGCAGCAGCTGCAGCAGCAGCAGCAGGAGACCCATGAGCAGCAGCAGCAGCAAACCAAGCACCACCAGCAGCAGCATCCACAGCAGTAGCATCAAACCAAGCATCAGCAGCAGCAACAGCAGCAGCACCAACAGCAGCAGCAGCAGCAGCAGCAGCAGCAGCAGCAGCAGCAGCATGTTACCTGGCGTTGCTGCAGCAGTTTCAAGAATTCTTCTGCGCGCAGTATACACCAGGCCCTCCATTCCTCTTCTTGCTGCTGCTCATGCATCAGCAGCAGCACCCGCCGCAGCTTCCATTGCTGCTGCAGCAGCAGCGCTTGCTGCTGCAGCTGCTGCCCGTCCCTCTCCTCATATAGAGCTAGCCGCCACGCAGCAAACCAACGACGTAGCTGCAGCAGCTGCAGCGCAGCAGCAGCTTTTCGCTGCTGCTGCTGCTGCTGCAGCGCTCTAACCCACAGACGCAGACACCCCAGCAGCAGCAGCTGAGGGCCCCTCTCTTCGCGCTGCTGCTGCACTGCTGCTGCTGCTCTTGCTGCATGCTGTCTTGCTGCTGCGAACCCCCGCCAAGCAGCAAACGAGGTGTACAGACACTGCAACTCCTCCTGCTGCTTCCGTGCTGCAGCAAACTGCTGCAGCTTCTGCTGCTGCAACGCGTGCTGCTGCATGCGCTGCAGCACCAGGCCGCAGCGAACCTCCACAGCACTGAAGACAACAGCAGCAGCAGCAGCAGCAGCAGCAGCAAAGACAGCAGCAACAGTAGCAGCAGCAACAGAGGCATCCACAGCAGCAAGAGCAGCAGCAGCAGCAGCAATGAGTGCGTGCGTTTCTGACTGTTGTCTGGGTTTTTATTTGTTTTTCTGTGTTTGTCTTTGTTGTTGTTTGTTTCTGTTTTTGTTTTTATTATTTTTATTTTTGTCTCTCTCTATCTCTATTTCTGTCTCCTTTCTCTCTTTGTCTCTCTCTGTCTCCTCCTGTCTCCTTTCTGTATTTGTTTCTCTCTATATGTCTCCTTTCTGTCTCTATCTGTCTCTTTATTCTTTTTTATTTTTTTCTGTCTTTGTATCTGTCTCCTTTCTTTATATATATGTGTTTCTATCTTACTGCTTGACTTGCTGCAGTCGCTGCTGCAGCTGCTGCCCTGCTGCTGCTCGCAGCAGCTGCTGCAGCTTCCTGCTGCGGTGAGCCCGTTGCTGTAGCAGCTGAAGGGCCTCTCGCTGCTGCTGCTGCTGCAGTCGCCAAACGCATGCAATCAGCAGCAGAATGCTGCGCCGCAGACAAGCAGCAAAGCGGAGAGCAGCAAATGCCCGCTGCTGCAGCAGCTCGTTATAAAAGCAGCAGCACTGCAGCAGGTCCCGCCACGCATGAAACATTACTCGCTTCTGCTGCTGCTGCTGCTGCTGCTGCAACAGATGCATCTGCTGCTGTCTTGCTGCATGCGCTCGCAGAACCTGCAGCAGCAAATGAACACACAGCCACCCTGTCGGCGCTCAGCTGCTGCAGCTCTTGCTGCTGCTGTTGCTGCACCAGCAGCAG